ATGACCTAAGTTGCTCAATCAATGCCTGAATTTTTGGTCCACACTTGATCAATAGATAGTAGCAACACACTGAGGAAGATTCGCAAAACCCTTTAACCTAGACTAAAGCTTTCGACCCTGTCGAACTTTGAGCGAAAAATTTGTCGAATTTTTAGTCTGTCGAAAATTTTTCGCTCGAAATTCGACACTGCCAATTTGGCAGTGTGGGACTCTCGATCAGTCCCAGCCAGAAACATAGTGGCTAGTTTCTGGCTGGGACTGATCGAGAGTGTAGCGCTGAAAACGTTGGCCACACTGACCATGAGATCCCGTGAAGGGTGCATTATGCCGTTTGCCACTCGAGGAGAGAGGTGAATAGAGGTGATAAAGTAGGTTTCATCCGCAGTAAAGGTATAAAAAGATTTATGGGGTTTAGCTGCGATGAACATGGTATGAAAGGGCGGGATACGAGCTGATTGAGCTGCTAAAAGTATGTAGGTGGCCAAGTTGGAAGTGGATAGTGTAGAGGGTAGGACGGAAGAAGCTGGAATCTTGGTAAGAGATGGAAGTGTGGTATCCGAAAGGGTGTGTATTTGATTTTGAGATGGGTTTATCACCATTTTATATTTGCGAAAAAAGTCGAGACCTAATACACAAAAATGTTGCAAACCAGGGATAACATATACTAAATGGTGATAGGTAGCACCATTGAGAGTGAGGAAAACCATATAAGCACCCTTAGACGAGAGGATTTAGCTTTGAAGGATTTAGGATTCATGGAAAATGCGGGGACATTCCACCTCTTACCAGAAGAACCCTGTTTCTGTTTTTTCGATATAGTGACTGAGGCTGAGCATGGCACTGATAAGAGTAATGTCGAGATTTTTACAATTATAGCAGACAACATCAGTGCTACGGCGAGTTACAGATGCTGGAAGAGAAGCGGGCACAGTGATAGAGGTATCGGATACAGCAGGCCGAGTCAGAGTAAATTGGTGTTGTTGAGAAAAAATAATTACTTCGGCAGAGAGAGCTTTATCCATGAACTGACTGAGTGTAGGATGATCAAGGACGCCCATAAGATTGACTAGATCCGGGCGTATTTTTGCATAAAGATGTTTAATTAAATCATGCTCACTCTCGTTCGGTTTGTGCTCGTACCAGATTTTCCGTAAACGAACCAAAAATTGACTAATAGGCTCATCGGAACGTTGAACACTGCGATTGCATTTCTCTTCGCTTTGCACAAGACGGAGGGGAGAAGTAAATTGTTGGATGAATAGGTGTTGGAACTCTGACCAAATGGTAGGAAGGTTATGGGTAAGGGATAGTTGGGTGTATCAGTCTAAAGCGGTATCCAGTAAAAAGGTAGAAATACCCTGCAATAATGCGGTATCAGTCCAGCCGTACATGCTTGAAGCATAGTGCTGAAGACGAAGTAAAAACTGGAGAGGTTTTTCAGTAGGTTTACCAGCATATTGAGGTATGGTAGTGGGTGCCGGAATAATGATAGTCTGAGGTGTCGGACGCGTTTGTGGCGGTACGTCACCGGATGAGATATTCGGATTTAGTTGAGGAGCTGAGGAGGGATAGGTAGAAAGATTTTCCGGTTTTGTAGACGGTAAATGAGCAGGGGGTAGAGAAGCAGCGAGGACTGGAGAATGATCGCGTGGGTGCGGGTTGGAAGGCATCGGACGCCGCCGGTCACGAAGATAATTCTCGAAGTTTCGGGCAACAGTTTCTAACCGGTTCTGAGTATTCAAGGAAGTATCATCTACTTTCAACTGTAATGCATGGACTGCATGCTGAAGAAGTTCAATTTGATTCTCGATATGCTGGTTCTTACGGTCAATTTTTTCATTTTGTTCCTGCATTCGAGAATCTGTGAGTACAATCTGAGACCGATGATTATCATAAAGTGTTTGAAGATGGTCCTGGATGGACCTTTCGGAGGCGGATAAATTAGAGAATTCAACCATGATAAAAACCAATGTGACTTACCAGACAATCAATATGAAGAAAGATAGAAAGAAAAAAAAGAAGAAGAGTTTTGCAGGGGAACGGAAGGTTCGGCAAGACGAGATCGGCAAGTGTGAGAGACTTATATTTCCTCTACTTATAAGTCATTGAGGGGTTATTGTACGTGTGCTTTATAGTACGTAGTGTATGTATATTATAGTTTTATTTCGACTACTCTTTATAAAAAATTTACAACCTATTAAAACTAAAAAACTATTCGGTTCCATATATCTTCTACTACACGCCAACAGATAAGAACGAAACGAAATAGAAAGAGAAAAAGAAAAAGAACAGGAACAACGAGACAACAAAACTACCAACAAAGACAGGACAGAACAAAACAAACTAACATACATGTATACGAAGATAATTTGTACATAGTGGAAAGAGAGGTTGTGACAAATAATTGTCACATAGGGGAAGTAACTGTAACAGTATATCGAGGACAAAAGCTGACGGCTAATGAAGTATCGCTCTTCAAACAAAGAATTGGATGTTTTGTGTCGAATGACACATTTTTGTCGACTGTTTTTGACCGTCATACGGTGCTCATGTGTAGTAGAGCGCAGGAGGAAACAGGCGTATTTGAAATTGATATCGTACTCAAACACAATCGAAAAAGTTATGCGGCATTTCTTCGTGATTTAAGTTCTTATGCAGACGTCAAAGAGCTTCTAACTGGTTCCGGTGCCTTATTTCATACAGATAAGAGAAAACAGACAGATTGTGCTTGGTGTTTGAAAATGACCCAGTACGACGACAAATGCAAACTTGAACAATTGAATGATATTTTAATATTATGTTGTTGCAACTGTACGAAATACTCCGCCGTATTCTACCGAGAGAGAATCGATACAGTAAGAGAAGTTTGCACAATTTGAACGCATTCAAAAACGGTTTACATTCTGTGGATGGCGTAGTCGGTAATTTCGCAGTTTGACAGACAGACTTTTCGACAGTGTGTTTTGGCACTGCCAAAATTCGACACTGCCAAATTGGCAGTGTCGAATTTCGAGCGAAAAATTTTCGACAGACTAAAAATTCGACAAATTTTTCGCTCAGAGTTCGACAGGGTCGAAAGCTTTAGTCTAGGTTAAAGGGTTTTGCGAATCTTCCTCAGTGTGTTGCTACTATCTATTGATCAAGTGTGGACCAAAAATTCAGGCATTGATTGAGCAACTTAGGTCATCCCTAACGTACAATTCTTTTCCTTAGCAGAAAGTGTAAATATGTTTCTTTTGCAGTCTTTGAACAACCAGCTGGTGTTTTCCTCCATGTTTTGCCTTTGCCTGTTCAACCAAATCTTTTGTTTTTTCACCACTTAGTCTCTCTAAAACATTACTTTTAAGCATTATCAGCTCTGAGTTTAGTTCGGACGAATTGAGAAAACGTTAAAAAAGACACCTTCTGGAAATAAAACAAAATATGTGTATTGTGAAATAAAACATTTGGCTAAATTAGAGAAAAAAAACCAAATACTGAAGTTAATTTACTGTAAAAACATTTGACTGCTGATTAGAGGTGTAAGCCGCGCGGCTTAGCCGCCGACGCCGCCGATTTCTTCGGAAAAACTGTAGCCGCCGCCGCCGAACCAAAGAAAATTTTAAAAAGTTCTCAGCTGCCGCCGCTGAGCTAAAGAAAGCGCAGCCGCGCCGCCGCCGTTACTAATCGAAGTTTTCAAAAATATCAGCC